GCAAGGGAGAAAGCTGATTTTTGATTTTAATTTTGAAATTATTTTTTAATTTTTTTAACATAATTTTATTTTTAAAGTAAAATAGTCTTTAATTAGTATTCGCATTTTTATTTATAATTTTTTAGTTCAGTGTAGATTTGAGCTGGCATTTTGATTACACAAGCACTTGTCAAACAATATTTATGTACATTTGCAATACAAAAAAAATTGGTCATACAATTATGCATTATTCTTTTTTTACAGATGATATATGAATGCAGATGATGATATGCAAATTTCAAAAAAATAATAATATTATTAAGTTTTCATTTATATAACAGCAAATATTCAGTTATCATGGAACTATTTCTGCTTATATCAGCAGTAAACAAATATGTGTCGCATCAACATATCTCCAGCAACATTGTTGATAAGCACACATGTGTATGTTAATTAACAGAAAACAAATATRTGCCCATCAGCATATATCCCGAACATGTTGACAATCACATACGGATATGTGGTATGCATTTGATTTTATTCCAATTGGAAAGAGGAAAAATAGTATATACGTCGTTTTGATTATTTGAAATTCAAAATGGCGGATTTACTCTATTAAGCGGSCTGTTTAGTGCACTTTTTAATTTTTGATGGTTTAATAGACTAACTTTAAGAAAACAAATATATACTTGTATATTACTTTAGATTACTCGGAATTCAAAATGGCGGCTTTACTTATATTATACGGCCCGTTTATTACACTTGGTAAATAAAATATATTATTTAATATTCATGTTTTAATGAGCTATATTCAACACAAATTCTTTTGAACTAAAATTGTTGTTTTATTCTAAAAAATTAATATTGCTATAACGCTTTCACCGTTAATTTTATTTTGTTATTGTGTAATGATTTTTTAATTTGTCAAATATTCCTATTTTTTATTTACATGTTATGTACATATGTTATGTAAGTGCTGTGTTTGCATACTTTTAATGCTAGAGCTGTTAATGAAGTTAAGGAACATGTTTTAACAGGTTTATACATAAATAAAGGGATCGTGAGAGATTTGTTAACTACATACTCTCTTCTTCTTGGCCTTAAAAAACTAACTGAGCAAAACATAAAATGTCTGTCTCTTATACACATCTAGATGTGTATAAGAGACATTATTTTGATCGTTCAGTTTGTATGACAACTATATC